TGCTGATCAAAATGAAAACTGAAAAAGAAGGATGGTAAGACAGAAAGAGAGAGGAAGAGAGGTACTCACGCCTGCCCTCCCCGGCCGGTATCCCTGCACAGTAGTGCTTGATGTCCAGTGCACAGGACTGGTGCAGTAGTGGATCGACATGGATGTCAGCCTTCCCTTCTTGTAGCAACCGTAGCACTTGTTGTAAGACAACAAACAAGCCCAGTAACTACATGATACAATGTTGTGACTGGATAAGAATAAACAGCTTGGCTATCACAAGAAAATAGAGTTGTTATGGATTTTGCATTCTTGGTTTTCACCTAATCAAGTCATTGAATGGTGCTGATGAATTTGAATTTTTTTACTACCTTTGGTCATTTAACTAATAACAAAAGCTTTAAACCATAACACTACTCAATCAACATCATTAGTCAAGAACTTACCGTCTGGCACATTTTGCTGAATTTATTTTTCTCAGAGAACTTTTTCTTGAGACACTCCTCCACACTGCCAGTCTCAGGTTTGTCATCTCCTCGCTGCACATTTTGGTCATCTAAACACGGAAGGAAAAATCGGTCATTCTTGTCTAAATTCTATATTTTTCTCTACAACTCGGGGGCAGTGCCTACATGTACGTCCTTCAAAAAAGTCATTTGTTCCAATGCTATAAGCCTTATCATATGGATGATAATTTTGCTGGTCACTTGGTTGGTCTACTGGGATGATGTGATTATCACCACTCTTATTTTCCCATAACATATCAACTTGATGAAACTATTCCTGCAGTATGAAGATCATATCCTCACGGAGTACCCCCCTCCCACTCAGCAGGTTTGAGCACATACCTCCTCCATACAGCCCTGTGCCAGCTGTGGGTCCATCCTGTAGTCGATGGCTGCCTCCCTCATCAGTTCTTTAATGTGGTCCTCACATTGTGGAGACAGCCGCTGCATGGAGGAACAGGGAGGATTCAAACCTCAAGGTTAACCTTCTCCCTGCTGAAGGCTAAATATGTAAGTTAGCAGGGATATGGTTAAACTTTAATACAATGTTTAACAAGCTGGAAGTGTGAAAGAAAGCAATTTACCAACTTGTCTTGGTTACCATACTCTTTTTTTTGTTGTTACTCCTCATATCACAGTGTGGTTCAGATTGTACTAGTAATTAGCAGTTATAACTTGTAGCTGACAATTTACAGGGTAAAATAAAAATCAGAGCACTATCAGGAAACAATACGCACATTCTTGCCCACTTTGGCCTTGAGGCAGCCGATGACTTTGCCCTCCAGTTCTGTTGACCTTGCTTCAGCCAGGATGTCCCTGCAGAACTTAGGGACGTCTTTCTTGCATTTCTTCTGCAGCTCAACATCCAGCCTGTAGTCTTCTGCCTGCTCAATCTGTCTTTGTGTGATAGCTTTCCTACATCTGAAGGTAAAGAAGTGAAGAACATCAGATTTGATCTTCACTCTGTTATCACACTGGGATCACCTACTGTCTTTATTTCCCATTTAACCTTCAGCATGCTAAGGCAGCTGTTTGGCACCGGATTTGTAAGGGTTACAGGGTTAGGCAGTGGGGAGAAGAATACATAATAATTTAGAGCATGGGCAATTTATTTACAAGTTTTGGAGCTTAACTGTTTTTTCTATTCTGGAATTTCCAAATTCCTACTCAACAAATACAAAAGATGACTCAGTAATATTGTTTTCTTTCTTCCTTAGAACATGGCACACAAAGTCAAAATTTGTCAATCACATCTTCACACAGTCATTTTGTAGTTGTTACCTTTCATCCATGAATTCATTGTTCTTGTTTTTCCTGAGGCAGTGTAACACGTCCTTAGGGTCAGACTGGGGGCAGAACCGCTGGGAAGGACAAAACACCAACAGTTATCACTGTTATTCCCATAAAATGGCAAAAACATGTATGGAGTTCAAGCACTTTCATGTTCTTTCTTTATATTTTCATACATGGAAGGGACTTGAATGAAACAGCTTGACCTGAGCTTTACCTTCACCATAGGTTTACAGTCCCTCATGAAGCCGTAGTCCACACTGTTATCAGTCAGTTCCTCCCGCTCACGGTTAAACAGTTTGATATGACAGCCGTCAGACAGCTTCTTCTTGTGTCTCTTCAGACACTCCAGCATACGAGCGTCCCCTGCCTGCTCCGTGTCACAGTGCTTCTTGATGTCATCGTGACATTCATGCATCAGTTTGGGGTCTAGACGCACATCCTCACCCTGTGAAGACCACAGAACATGTCACACTTGACTAGCTATTGTACAATTTCAAGGACAGTACATCAACTCATTCCAACATGCACTATAATGTTTCACAATGTCATGTTCACAGAATACAACCCTTTAGTACAGTACAATTTATCATTTCTGTCACTTGCTTCTTAGGTTATATGTAATACAGTACTACAGTAATTATTTGTGGTATAAAGTTTCTGGTCCAACTGCTGGTTCCACAAACACAATTATAGATCCAAGCCCTGGCAGGATAAAAGACCAAACAGCTACTTTAAACCGAGTAAGACTTGTACCTACCCTGTCCAGTAACTCCACCCTGAGCTGTCCCCTGCAGTCTTTAGAGATCCTGTGTTTGTTCTCCATCAGTGTGTCATTCCTCACAATCTCACTCAGACAGGAAACAAGATCAGCTCTGAAACAACACAGGCAGGCTCACATGAATGCACATGTAAATGTACATTAGACTCAGGCTTCTTCTTTCTAGCTCAGGCCACATTAATGTACAGATACATAAATTCAGGTTTCTTCTTTCTAACTTGTGCCACACAAACTTACAACCACATAGCCTTGCTTCTTCTAGTATAGTTGACATTAAAAATGAATTCATCCTTTCTTTGATTTTGTCAATCATTCAAAACAGCCAATGTGAAGTCTTTCTGAATAAGACTGCAGCATACTTGTTCTTGATGTTGCGGCAGTACTTCACCACATCTGACTTGCAGGCCTCCTTGAACTTGAAGCTGAATCGGTAGTCCTTCAGCTGGATCTGGATAAGTGTGGTGGAGAGATTAGAATGTCCCTTATTACAGCATTACAAAATATGTATGCATGAATACAGATCATTGAAAATAAATGGACTAGCAAGGAGGTTGTCACTATTTACTGGTCGAGAAAAATCTAAATTGTTGAAGTTTGAATAATTGTCTCTCAAAAAAATGATCTAAAACCCCATCTTTGATAACATACTCACCAGCTGCATGTGCATGATGCCGGCTGCACATTTCTTGTTCATCTCGTGTTCGTTCTTGTTTTCAATCAGGCACTGCAGCAAGGCCCCATCATCCTCTTCTTTGTCAACAATGTCCTAGAGACATCCAAGGATGGGATATGAATACCTAGTATCTTTTCACAGACAGACTCTTTCTCTTATCTTTCACAGCACATTTCACAACACATCTGCATATCAACTGGCAACTTCAATGCCATTTATACCTGACACAAAGCATGTCTCCATCACGTATGCATGCAGTACTATCATGTATACCCTTTTTCCATGAGAGGTGAATAGGCACTATGACTCTCTATTTCTTTGTTTACATCACTTCTATTTTCAAAACCACCAAAGATCAGACTTTTTTCTGGTTTACTTTCTTATGCCCATACCTTACCTTACCAGGGTTCAGAACCTTGGTGGTTATGTCAAGATTCAAACTTTGGAATTTTGACGTGATCCAAAAGTAAAAGAGTTACCAACCTCTAGACTACAGCAATCTCCAGACAGTTAAGGAAGTCTTAGATGTCCAGTTCACTCACCTTACAGTACCTCTTTATCATAGGGGCACAAGACATCATGAAGATTCTGTCCAGATCCAGATCCTAAGAAACAGACAGTAATATCAATGGTAATTAATGGTAATCCTTTGGGCATTTTGACATACACAATGGGCAAAGATCTATACACATGTACATGTACATGCAAATAAACAAAATATATCCGAATGCCTTACTGACCTGAGATGACATCTGGGTGAAGTTGCCCACTCGTTCTCTGCAGGGTTTGCTCAGGTTCTTGAAGTTGTCCTGGAGGCAGTGCATTTCCTGTAGCAGCAAAATAGCAAACGGGCATTCAAGAATCAATGAATGGTCCAACAATGCTGATTTTCGTCCTTGTCAACAGTCCTAGAGGTCACAGCTAATGTACTGAGTAGGAATGATATTACAAATAGTATTTCATTTTTGGATTTTTGTTTGTTTCAGAGTTTCAGAGGTTTTTGTCCTTGGTTTGTTTTAAATTACATCATTCCTACCCTCATACATATGAGAATCCTGTTAGTATATACAATCTACAGTGTAAAGTGTTTGAGTGGGGGTAAAGCTGGGAAACTGAGAGAGAAACTACATGGTTAAGCAGGCTAGAGTCCAAGTTGATGAGCTGAAAACACCTTCACCATGCAAGGATTGTAAGTCACCCTTAAGTAGAACCTCACAGTGTCCCTGCCATTGTGTGAAATGAACAAAATATGTTTCCTATTAACTAGTATGATAATATAAATCCTATGCTATGCAACACTTAGTCTAGATATACTTTGAAATATATTCGAAGTAATTGTAAATGTTACAATATTTTCTGGCAAGGACACTTTGAGATTCTGTTAGTACTTTGAGATCAGTATTAAAAAGAGAGAGGTTTGGATGAATCCTGTGGCAAGTCACCTGGTCAGGCGGTATCTGTAAAGTTGCCCCATCAAACACATCCATCTGCAAATGGCCACACGTTAGTGCCAAACAGAGCATGTTAGTTCACAACAACAGCAGGTGAAATATGCTCAGGCAAGTGATAGCAGAGGAACACACTTGTCATGCCTCTTCCTGCCCCTTTAGCATGCTGTGAGCAATACATGTACATGTACTAGTACTTGACCTGACATGTGTGAATGCGGACATTCAAATGTACACACTGCAAGAAGTAGAAAAGATGCTAGGCTGTTATGTGTTTTCTTTTCTAATCAGGATTGCCAAACAGAAATTACGTAAATATCACACTAACTTACAAGCGTCAGAGGAGGATGCAAAGCAGAAATTTAAGTCAGCATGATGTATGTTAAATTGAAAGAAAACAATTCCATGAGGTCTCAGGCAATGTCACTGTTACATGTCATCTGGGATATGCAAGTCAAATAAAATTTTTCTGAAGAAATCAATGAGAATGTATAGTTTATAGTTTATATGACAGCAATCAGAAAAGGGATCAAGGTCTACGAGAAATGCCAGAGTTAGTTTACCACACTAACACACAAGGGATAACTCCAAACAGCTAACATGAGATGTCACTTACCTCTCCTTTCTCTACATTCTCTGAGCAGTACTCCCCCAGGTCCCGCAGGCAAGCCTTCTCCAACATGGGGTTCAGTCGGACGTCCACCGCTCTCTGGTGCATCACACGGCGCACTTCAAACGCACAAGCGTGGCTTAGCTGTGTAAAAAAAATGTATAATGATATGATCAGACAGTGCTATACACTGGTGAGCCCATTGACACAACATTAAATTGTGTTTTCCATCCAAACTTGGCTCTTATTACGTGTCAAATTATTACCCTCATTTAAAAGAAATCTTTCTCCAGTCACTCCAATAACTTCTAAAAAAGAAAAGCATTGTCTGTTCTATTACCTTTGCTTCATCTTTCCTGTAGACATGCCTGTAGAGACATGAGAAGACGATTCCTGGTGGAAGGTTGTCATTGGTATCGTTCCAGTCTGGGCCTGCGTTACAGAGTCGCTCTGCTTCTTTGGCACACTTCCTGTACATCCGTGGGTCCAACCTGCAACCAGACATGTTGGGTTAGGCCTTCATGGATCAACAACTACATTCCTGTTGTCATACATTAGTGATAGGCACTATTATAATTCTTCAAATCTTGTATATATTAACGGTGCATATACTATACTGTAATTCACTTTACATGTATGTTCAAGGTAGTAAAAGTTTGCAGTCTGAGAAAAATGGAGGACCTGGTGTTTAACGAACTATATGTTTAAAGTGGCAGCAGGTGCACAAAAATGAAAGTTGGCGAATTCTTTACTAACGGTAAGTTTGCGGTACAGAAGAGACCGTAAAAACCGTGAACATAAAAGTACTGCGACAAAAAAATCAAGAATAACAGTATATTAGATGAACACATGGTTATGTAATAATGACAGCCTGTGCTCTATTGATGCAGTGTTACAGTCAAATGTACTTGACGGAAGCCTCTGGGCTTACCTCCAGTCCCTGGAGATGAAGTACTGCAGCTCCAGCAGTTTCTCCTCACAATCCTCCACCATAGAGGGTGTGTACAGGTGCTCCATTAAACATGACAGGATCCTGCAGGGATACAGACAACACACATACAGTACAGCAGGCTGTTTCAACTAGTCACACTACACGTCTTAACAAACATTAGCTGATCTACATGTACTTATAGTTTTCCATCTCCTAGGCGATGACCCTATCATATTGGCATTTATTTGGGCAACCCAGTCTTAAAAGCATATTTCAGGAGGTAATAATTAAAGGTATATCTGTCAAAGTTGCTTTCTCTTTACTGTATACATTTTTTTTCTCTCTTGGTCACACAAATGCTGTATTGGAAACGAATGTGCTTCTTAGACCCATATAAAGCTGTTACAGAGAAATACACAATGTTTATGCAAGAAGCAGTGATGCACTTCAATGGAAAAAAGTCACAGGTTCCATCAGTCTCCTTCAGACTTTCAAAGCCAGCATGGCAGAGAACTTACATGGCATCTCCAGGTTTGATGTCCTTACAGGCAGTCTGTACCACCGGTTCACAGGCATCCTGCAGGGCAACGTCCATCCTGTAGTCAAACCCTGCATCTGCCTCCTTCACTAGAGACTGCACCTGGAAACACACATGGAAAACTTGGTTAATGATATCATCCCTGCTATCATTGTCACTGGGATATCTACATCTTCACTCTCTCTCTCTTGGCTTGGCTTTGCTGACAAATATTTTTCAAGAACCCTTTCCACTTATCTACATAGATGTGCATGAAATGACCACCTATGGATGTAGTAATATCATGTTACTACATCTCTTAACTTTAGTATACATAGCTTGATAGACTGGATTTTCTCTCATAACACCTTTCGTCACTTCTGACTTCTTTTAACAGTACCAGAGTGGTCCTTTTGTACCTGCGTGGTTATCTTATAATTCTTTTTCCTAAAATGTAGGCTAAACCAATGATGCTTGGTTATACTTACTGCTATCAAGCAGGTCTTGCTCAGCCTGTTTTGTCCAGTCTTGGAGTCGTCCATGCCGTTCTGCATGAGACAGTGGATAGTCCTGCCCTCCTTCTGCAGACCGTTGCACAGGCTCTCAATTTCACCTCGGCAGTTCAGGACGATCTCGGGAGAGATCTGGAAGTCTGACATCAGCTGCCGCCTCATGTCAAACATCTCCCCCTGACAGTCACCACTCACCTGACGGCCTGGGAGCATAAAACATGACCAACACTTACAAAAAATATAAAAATATGCTTTTCCTGATACCACACTTTCAGCTAATTACTCAGCCCTGTACGGTATTGCAAATAGTCTTAGACCAACTTTCATTTGTAATCAAATAAAACCAAACTGATTTTAACGAATCAGAAGCATATCCGAAAGCCAGTGTCAGTAGAGCACCACATTTACAGGTAACCATAAAGATCCCTGAACAAAACTTAAGGAAGACAACATAGAGATGGTTGCCTGGAATTAATGTTGTCTGGTAATACAGCACACAAGACTATTATAGGAGAAGAAGGACTTACCCTTCTGTATGGCATTCTCCAGGCACAGTAAGATGAAGGACAACTTGGCAAATTTCCCCTCTGGCATGTTATCTACCCTGCAGTGGTAGTGCTTGATGTCTTCTTTGCACTTCTTGGCCAGGCCGTAGTTCACCTTGTAGTCCTGGCTCACCATGCGCTGTCGTATTATCAGCTTTTCTCGGCACTGCAAGATGCATGAAAGTCAACGTTGATTTAGACCACCCATGTGTGTTATTAAGTAAAAATGGGCCATTAGTCAGGTCAATACGAAGGAAATATGACATGAAAGGGTAATAAATCATCATATTGACCCGGGTACAGGTCCTTA